CGTTTGGCCATACTCAAGAGAACTGTGATGATGAACAGGTACTTACAAAAATATGAAATTTAATTAATAAATTTACAGTTCTGCTATTAATGCATTTACTAATTCAGTTATGATAACGTTTATTAAAAATTTTCTATTAAAGCAGTTATGAGTAGTGGTTAGAGTTCTGGCGCAGAATCAAGGGGTCTGAGATTCATTGCCAGCTCTAGCTACATTGGTAAGGAAGGAGTCATGAACTTCCTAAAGGAGACATTATTAAGGAAGCAAATATGAACTTCCTTAAGAAGACATTGGTAAGGAAGGAGGTATAAATGCTCTTAACGGTGTTCTGTAATAGATCTATAGGTCTGCTTGGAACACCTTAAAAACTTAAGAATTGAATAAATTATATATTTAATATATTTAATAATTTTTATGATTTAATGATAATTTTTATGAACAATTAAAATTTTGTTTTAAAAGTTATTACTTGGTTAAAATAATACTTGCTTAATATTTTTAATCTTAAATTTAAATAAAGACAAATTAAATTAAAAAAACTTAATTTTTTGTATATTTTTATTTATAATTCTCATACTTTTATTGGACTCGTTTTATTGAATTTATTTGGATTTGTGATTAAAACTTATTGAATTTTATTGGAAGACTACTACGAGATTTAAAAGCATGAGATTTAGAACGGTTGCTGTTCTGAAAGGTTGGTTAAACATGTAGTGAGGAATCCACATGACCCAATTTCCATGTGTTAAGACTTTAATTAAAAAATCATAGATTTTTGTGAAAGGCTAAATTTGTAGATTACAAACTATAGATAAATAGTCAACAGATGTCGTGAGATTGGCTATTAATTAATAATTGTAAATCGGGTTGGTTTTACACCTCTAAATCCAATTGAAATCTTAAATTATATTTTGAAAATATTTAAATCTCTCAATTTGACTTGCAAAAGTTATTCACAATTTGTTAAAATCTCTTTGATAAAGAATAGAATGCTTTAATATAATTAATTTCAATTATTTGCTATTTTATGTTTGTAAAAGAGTTTTGTAATTGACATACAGATACTGTATTTGCTATTTTTCTTAAGAAGTTTACAACGAAATGTGTTTTAATAGCTCATATTTTTTTGTACTTTGGAATTCTAGCAGGATATGCACGTAAATTTCATTCATTTTTATTAAGTCACCTCTTTTTTATTTGAATTCTAATTGTTGGAATGTTCATTTGAGATCTGGTTGTTGGTATGTTCGTTTGAGTTCTGGTTGTTGGTATATTCATTTGAGTTCTGATTGATGGTATGTTCATTTCCAGGTTTCTCTCATAAAAAAAGTCTTTTTAAGTTGTTAATTGTTATCAATCTTTTTTGAATTTTTTCTAGTAGGTTGATTTCCAATTTCTTTGAAGGATCAAAATAACTGCCCCATATTCTAAGTCTTGCCAACGTGACATTACAATCCATAGCATAATATTTCATACATGTACTTAAAAGAATTTTTTGTTAAGATTCGTTGCTGTCGTTTGCTTTGCTGTTTTTATTAAAATTCGTTGTCGTTTGCTGAATAATCAATATGATTGCTTCATTTAAAGTCGTTTAAAACAAAAATTCCAAAACCTCTTTTCAGTGTAGTTTCCTATGATGTTATTTATCTGTAAATTAATTATATAAAATCATTCCCACAAAAAAAGTTCTTTTTTTTGTGGGAATGATTAAGCATTAGGATAATTCTCATTTGAAAGTTAATCACAATTAAAATCTTTCAAATAACTTGAAAATTTAAAGAATATCTTTTTGTTGCTAACTTCGTATAATTTTATTTATATATCCCTCATTCTCAATTTTCAGGAAGAAAAAAAATTAGACAATATATTCAGCCTTGTTTTTTATTTTGATTAAACGCTAATCTAAAAGTTGCAACAATTGAATGAGTTGTGTATTATATTTCATTGAACCAATCAAAATTACGATGGTTTAAATATTGTAAGTCGTTTGTTTGTTTTGTTTTATTTGGGAGTGAGTCTGTTTTATTTGAGTGTTTGACGTTGTATGCGAAAGATATTTCAATAAACAAAACGTGGCCTATAAGCAGTTGTCGGTTCTTTATATGTGATAATTAAACATTTGTTTATCAAATGTAGTTGCAAAACATTTATAGAATTATTACTTGGATAATCACCTCTGAATCAAATTTATTAATTATTAACATGTAGGAGAATCAAAATAATTTATCTTAAGAGGTTAAAAACATGATTTGGTGTAGCTAACTCATTATTATATTCATTTTAATTATAGGCTAAATGTAAATTAAGACGAAACCGCAAACGGTGGTTGAAATCGAGGCTTATTGCTTGGAAACAATCTTTTTAAAAATCATAATTTAATCAGACAACAATGTTTCGAATCGAAATGACTTGCAACTCCTTAGCTTAGCTTTAAAATAATAACAAATGCTAATTTAGAGTAGAAAAAGATTTTATTTAAGAATTAAATTCTATTAATAAATTGATTTTATAGTAAAATTATTTATACTCTAACTTTAATTTTAAATATTAAAAATAGAAATAAACATAAATGTGTTCATATTTAATTTTTAGAAAATCCATATACATTGTATATAAAAATAAAGTGAATGAATAAATGATAATGATTTTAAACATAAAGAAATTTAAATAAATATAATGTTTTTTCTTTATTTGTTATTTCCATTTTTAATTTCAATACTTTTCAATCACCTTTTTCAGACGTTTTAGTGAAACTTACATTGGATTCAGTGTCATTGCAAGTGTTTTCTCATTTCGTCATAATTTGCATGACAAATGCGTTTATTCTTAAAACGCATTTTTTCATCAAATTAAAATTCTTTGACGACAAAAATGACGTTTAAATTATCAAAGGAAAAAATTGCATATAAAAATGTGAACATAAAAAGTTCTTAAAAAGAACAACTCAATTCTACAATTTAAGAAGAGAACCGCGAAAAATATTTTTTGATATAATCTTGATGCGTGGATTTATGACAGGATTTTTTAAAGAACTATTTTTATTGTAATTAGTTGTATGAATTAGTTTGAACTGTGTTCACATGGTAGTGGTCACACACAGGCTTACCTTACAGTATTTTAGTATACTAGACAATGTATTCTATCTGATATTTTCAGTTTGTACGGTGATTTTTTTATTTTTTTACAAATATTGCCTATAATTTTTCATATACATTCACGTGTTCCAGTTTTTTAACGGTTTTATCGGAATTCCTAAATAAAGAAAAGTTTCATTGTTAATAAAAAGAATAATAAAAAAGAATTGTATTTATTTTAAGATTTTTACTTTTATATGTTTCATTTAAATAAATATTTAAAAAAAAACTGTTTTTTTATTTCTTTTTGTTTTTGTTTTTTGTTGTAGTTTTTTAAATAATATTTTAATAATTCACAACACTTTAAACACTCATTTATAATAATTTTGCAAAATTCAAACTCTGCTTACGAAACATGCCCGACGAGAATGTTTCGTAATTTTATGAAATTTCGTAAACAAGATTTTTCGTATTTTTTAAATGTAATTTTACGTAATTTTGTTTTTATGTAATTTTACGTATGTTCTTTAGCGGCGGAGTCTTCAGAAATAAGAGAAAACAGTATTAAAGATTTTTTTTTTTTTTTTGTTATTATTCAAATACTTTCTTTTTTAACTTTACTCTCTGAAGTATGCTTTTTGATGTTTCTAAATAAATATTTCCAGTGGGCACGCGTCATCCGGGGGACGTCCAAACGTCCCCCGAACGACGTATGCCCAAAGATACGTCAGTAAAATACGTCAAAGATACGTCAGAAAAATACGTCAAAGATACGCTGAATAACTATTTGTGCAGATACTAGTTCAACGTCCATAAGCAATTTTTTACGCTTGCAATTTCTCAATCGTAGTTATTAAAAGTTAATACTTTTTTCAGTTGTTTTATAAAAGAGAAAATTTAAAATATATAAATTATAAAAGAGAATATTAATAATACCTTTTTCACACTTCAAAGCGTCAATTTAGTTCAGTTCTACAGCATGTACCAGTAAATTTAAATGACAATTTTCTGACAATTTTCAATGGTTCAGAATCAGCGAAACAATTATCATCCAGAAAACAAAAACAACAAAAAAGTGTATTAGTAATAAAGTTATAGCTGTGTGTTGCTAAAAAATTACGCACACATTTAAAAAAATATTGCGGTTGCACCCATTAAAAAGAAAAAATAACAATTGCACTCATTTAAAAGGAAAAATTTCGATGACACCCATTTAAAAGTTTTAAAAAATTCTAATACTGATTTTCCAGCCTAATAGGCTGTGATTTAATACGCTCGTAAATTTAGATTTAGATAGTTAGATAGTAGTCGTCGCTCAGAACCAAATGTCAGCTTTAACAAGATAAACGACATTAGTTGAGAAGGATGCATGAAAGTTTTAGTTGCATGTTTTATGGAGCAAATTAATAACCACAAAAAATTAAAAACAAAGAGATCGTTGTAAAGCTGTATAAATTTTTTGTATTAATTGAAACGAGATCTTAAAAGATTCTTCCCAGCGACTTCAACACTTCTTGAGCCCTCTAAGTTTTCTATATCAAATACTTAATTATCAAAAAAATGAAAAAGCGTGTGTATGCTATTTGTCTCTGCTGTTAAAAGTGTGTTAGAGTTTCAAAAATTTTTTATTACTTGACAATCCTGCCTTTTATTTGAAACTTTTTTTTGATTATGACTTTAGTAATTTCTATTCGGAATTTTTAATAACCTGGAAGGTTTTAGGTAAAATCGAAACAAAGATCTAAAGTTTTTATTAAAGATCTAAAGTTTTTATTAAAGATCTAAAATTTTAAGATTAATTAATATTAATCTTGCAGATTAATATTAATTAATCTAAACTGAAATAGCCAACCGTGGGAGCTTTTGCACATGCATCAACTGAATGTTTGGATTTGAGCGAGTGTATTTGTGTTAACTGGGCTTTCTCTTTAATATTTATTTCCTATCATTGTTATCGATAGTTTTTTGTTTTAATCCTTATAATTAATTATTTTTGTTCAGCATTTGTATCAAAGCTAGTCCTAAATAAAATTTATTCTTCAGAGTCTAAAAATTTTATCTGGCAATTTATTTAAATAAAAATTACCTGGCAATTTATTCAAATAAAAATTACCTGGCAATTTATTCAAATAAAAATTACCTGGCAATTTATTCAAATAAAAATTACCTGGCAATTTATTCAAATAAAAATTACCTGGCAATTTATTCAAATAAAAATTACCTGGCAATTTATTCAAATAAAAATTACCTGGCAATTTATTCAAATAAAAATTACCTGGCAATTTATTCAAATAAAAATTACCTGGCAATTTATTCAAATAAAAATTACCTGGCAATTTATTCAAATAAAAATTACCTGGCAATTTATTCAAATAAAAATTACCTGGCAATTTATTCAAATAATAATTACCTGGCAATTTATTCAAATAAAAATTACCTGGCAATTTATTCAAAATCTCATACATCGTTGCGAATTTTTACGAGTTTTTGTTTGTTTATTTTTTATACAGAATCTTTTTGCGTACGTTTTAATAAATGTTTTATTAAATGTGAAATGGAAAACGTCCTCCAAAATTTACATTTTTTTTTTTTTGCATTACTTGATGGTCACGCAATTGAAGTTTCTAATGGATTTGTTCAGAACTGGATTACCCACGAGTCAAATAGGGTTTTTGTCGCAGGTTAACAAATTAAAAAAAGGTCTATGATATTTGACTAATAAAAAAATAAAAAAAATAAACCTATTAAAAAATAAATATTCAACATTAAAAAAAAAAATTCAAAAGTTAAACTTAAATACCTTATACAATTTAATAAGACATTTATTTTAATTTTGATTGAGTTTTAAATGATTTTTTGCCTGAAATTTTGTCCAAAAAATACACAAACGCAAAAAAAGTTATAATAGGACATTAGGACCTTTATTATAATTATGGTTTTACATTCGTATTTACATTTAATATCTAATGTAACAAATATGTTCCTTTTCTCTGTTCTTAGATAAAAACAATGAGAATCTGCAAATTTTTAGGGATTTTAATTCATCTTTAAGCCGTTCCGAAAAACATAAAGTAAAGTTTTTATAGTTGCGATATGCTAAAAAAAGTTTCGAGATAAAGTTTTGAGTGACGGAGAAACTAGAATGATAAATCGTACAAGGTTCTATAATGAAGGTAAAGTGGCACACGAGTAGAATTGCAAATATTTGGTCCCGAAACCTGCCAGAACCAGACCCGTTAGACCCTTTAACCAAACGGGTCGGGTACGGATCTTATAATGTTCAGACTTGTTATACCAAGACCCAACGTTTTCTTAATTAACTTACTATAATTTTCTTATATACTTTTTAATAATTTATTATATCTTATTTAATATTAGGCGTATGTCGATGAAAAACAACGATTTTTTCTGAAATATTCAAAAAGGTTCATAAACCAGATTATAAAACTCAATTTCATGCACTCTTTAAAAAAAGATTTTTTTAAGAATAAGACTTTTCAAATAAAATTAAAAATTGATTTGGGAATTTGTATTGGGAAATTGTATTTAACAAAATTTTAACAAATTGTCTTCTAGAGTAATAATTAATGAAAGTGAATTAAACAATAAGCGAGATATTTCCAACAAATTTAACAACTACTTTGACAACATTGGTGCTGATCTTGCATCAAAAATTTAATGCCCAAATAATGCATATAAAAGTTACTTAATAGGCTCAAACTGCTCCTTAAATTTTAATGAACTAATTTAAGACGAATTTGAAATAGCTATGAAATTACTTAAAATCAAGTCCCCAAAGATTGACGACGTCTCTTGCAAAGTAGTGTTAGATGTTTTTGAGGATGTACGTAATCCAATTTACCAAATATTTAATTCATCAGTTACAACAGGTATTGTACCTGTTAAACTAAATATCTTTAAAATTATACCAATATATAAATCAGGAGAAATCAATTCTTTAAACAATTTTAGGCCAATCTCAATCCTTTTTGTATTCTTAAAACTTCTAGAACAAATAACCTACAATAAATTAAATAAATGTTTAAAAATTAACAAAACTATCAATAAAGGTAAATATGGTTTCCAAAAGCTGTATTCAACAGAGCATGCAATCCCTGATCTCTCAAATAGGATTAGTAAACAATTTAGAAAAAAAGAATTCACATTAGGGATTTTTATTGATCGTCAACCATGATATTTTATTGACAGAAGGGAAAAACTATGGCATAAAAAATCAAGCTATAATTTGGTTTAAAAACTACCTTAATAACAGACAACAGTGTGTTATTATAGAAAGAAAAAGTAATTCAAATTGACCAAAAAAAAAAGTGGTGTACCCCAAGGTTCTATTCGTGCTCCTATTTTGTTACTTATTTATATAAAAGATCTTCCAAATGCCTCTAATATCTTTAAAGCTATAATGTTTGCCAACGATACAAACTTATTTTACTCATCAAAGACCTATTTAAAAAAATAAATGTTGAACTAAAAAAAATTAATATATAGTTTAAATCAAATAAACTGCCTCTCATTATAGAAAAAACTTAGTATATACTACTCTAGCCTAATCAACTAATAAAAAAATACCCCTGAACCTACCAACAGTTAATATAGAAAATATAACTATCAAAAGAGTTCTGAATACAAAGTTTTTAGGGGTTCTAATTGATGAGCACATTTCCTGGAACCCCACATAAACTACATAAAAACAGTAGTTTACACTACTGTTTTTATGTAGTTTAAACAAGTAGCAAAAAACATTAGTTTACTTTACAAGGCAAGACCATTTTTGTCACAAAAAAGTCGAAAATTTGTTTAATTTTCATTCATATATAGCTATCTCATGTATGCCAATATAGCATGGGGTCGTACTCACAAATCTAAATTAGAACTACTTTTCTTACGTCAAAAACACGCTTCAAAACTAGTATATAACAAAAATAAATTTACTCATGCTCAACCCTTACTGGAACAAATGAACACACTAAATATATTTCAAATTAATATTTATCAAAGTATACTTTTCATGTTCAAATATAAACTCATATAAATGTCTGGTTTCAGGACATTTTACTGCACACTTTTTTAAAAACAATAAATAAATAAATACAATACAAGAGCAGCTTTAAAATACCGTTTGAAACAACAGGGCCCACCATTTTTTTTTTTTTTTAATTGTTTATTTTTGCCGTAATAATATTTACA